ATCACTTGTTTGCACCGCAAATCACCGCAATGCTTAAAAATGCTTGCAAACGAAGTTTTCGTGACCACGTAGCACAACAACGTCACATGAGCTTTTAACCACGATAGTGACAATAGTCCAAAGTCAATTGACAAATTTCTACCAGTGTATCGCCCACCTCTACTGCCCTACATTTTTTACCTGTACATGTACACCACAAAAGAAAAGATCTGTCACTACAGGCTGCAGTTTAGATCTTTAGGATGATCTTTTTGTACAAGCTTGTTCAGTTTTTAGGCCAATAGAGTCTTGTGTACAGGAATAGTGCTGGTCATTAAGTGGAAGTGATCTGAACAGTCTTATAAAAAATTGCTTCATGTCCTGAGGCACACTTGAGAATATTATTATTACCACAGCAGGATAGACAAACGCCACAGGTTGCTGTTGTAATTAAAGGAAGAGTATAAGAATTTTTTCTGAATGCATTTGTTAAGGGTGCAGTTTTAGATTTTTTATTTTGTCCTGTCCGTGTACATTTATAGACAACTATAAATGTATATACATTAACACTGTTTTAGCTGGCCATTTGAAAGTATCTATCTGTCTGCCTGTCTGTCAGAAAGCACTTGGAATTGAAATTGATACTGAATACTGAAATTGAGTTAATACATGTTACTACGTCTGCTGAAAGTCTGGAATCATTGCTTTAAAAAAAAAAAAAAAAAGTATTAACTTGGTATTAACAGTAAGTACCGGTTCTTTTGACATCTGTAGCCTGGATTGTATTCAATTCCTGCCAGTTTGGATGTTCTTTATATTCTAAGCCTGAACGGACTTAATAGAGCATGTAACTAATACATTTAGAGATTTTGAGTGGACTGGTGACGCACATGAAGAAAATCAAACTACAACAAGTAGCTGGTGGGGATTTTGATACCGATCTGTTGTTGGAAGTTTTTGGCCTCTTTTTCAATATTTAATTTCCAGAATCTGAAATTAGCTCACTGTGCTGTACAAGGAGTTTTTCTCCTTGAAAAGAATGTGTCTGTTATGAATTAACACAGTACTCAGCAGACATTGTAAGACAGGGCAATCCCAATGGATGCTCAAGTATTCAAAGTAGATTTATATCTCCCTGTTTCCGTCAGTGTTTAGTCCAGAGCCATGCTAGTATATTATCTATGTTCTCAATAGTGAGGAAGAAGATGTGCCAGACGCTTAGAAAAACAACTCCTGTTCAGTGATGGAGAGTCATTGGATGGGACTCAGACTAGAAATAAGCTGAAAAGGGAGATGTGGTTGGCCAGAGATGGATGTCAGTAGTGGGCCAACACATTTTTGACTTAACGTTGAACTAGGTCAGGTGTGTTTGAATGGTTTGTCTGACTATGTTTGAATGGGGTCACTGAATATCAGTGTTCATGTATCAAGGGTGTCATGATGTACCTTTTTTTTTTTTAGGGGACACCAGTGCTGTGCTGTTTTAGTATTATTTATATATAATAATATTTTGAAATAGCTTTTATTTTTATATTTTTAGTTTTCATTTATTTTAGTTTAAATTGAGTCAATTTATGTGCTTTTGTCATTTTTATTAGTTTTAGTTTTTTTATATTTCTATTTAGCTTGAATTTATTTTTATTTCAGTTTTAGTGTGTTGTTTTAGTACTTAAGCTTAAACTAAAGTAGTTATTATTGAAAAATTAAAATTACAAAATGTTTTTTAGTGTTATTGCATTAAACATGTTAAGATATTACCATAAATGTTTAACACCGTAATTTAACACGTGCAGAATTTAATATTACAGTTTCAAATCGTTTTCCAAAGAATGTCTAAAGTCAGACATCATGTAATAAATTTCAGTTATTTATTATTATTGACCATGACTACCCTATTTTTTAACAGAAATTTATACTGCCATCTTTAGGATAGAAGAGTGGATGATGAAAGATAACAAATAAAATAACATTTTTCAAGATAATATTTTTAAAAAATTGCTTTAGTACAATCACAATGTAAACATAATTTCATTAATATACGAAGCAACATGTTATTTATATAGTATTGCAGTTAAAGGGTTAGGTCACCCAAAAATGAAAATTAGCCCATAAATTACTCACCCTCAAGTCATCCTATATGACTTTCTTCTTTCAGACGAATCCAGTCGGAGAAAAAATTGTTTCTTTCAAATCTTTCAAGCTGTTTAATGACACTCTTTAAGTGAACACTGCATCAAAAAAGAACATTATTTTGTGTATTTGGTGTAATGAAATGTGTTTATGCGGTTTAAGGTTCAGAAAACACATTATTTTCCACATACTGTACATTATTGTCTATTCAATGCTCCGCCTTTCTGAAACGCGTCGATCAGTCTGAAAAGCGAGGTGTGCTGTGATTGGCCAGCTATCCAGTGCGTTGTGATTGGCCGAATACCTCAAGCGTGTGACAGAAATGTTACGCCCCTTACCATACTGTGATGGCGTGTCCCGGCCAGAGCGACGAGACAAAAACATTAAAACCCATTATAAACGAGGCAATTGTTGCATCCAGTGGGGACATAATTACGGATTATAATGGCTTGTACTGTCTTTTTACGCGTTGCGTTGTATCGCGCCACATAAACATAAAACCATGTCTGCATTTGTGATCGGAGAAATGACAAACAACAAGCGCTACTCTACCCTGCTCAAAACTCGCGTTTGAATCGTCAGTGGCGAATCCTTCAAATGAAAACGTACTTACAGTCTGTGAGTCGGAACAGCCGGCATTGTAGTCTACTCTTCCAGGATCAGGAAACAGTCCTCCATAAAATGTGTTGCACACATCTGAATATTTGGGTTGAACTGTTCTGGAACAGTGTTGTAAATACAACTTAACCACTGATTTCTAGTCGTGTCCTCTTTTGGAAGGCCAAACAAAGTAGTTTGTAGTAAAGTAGCAAAAGTTACGCCTTCTTTCTTTGCGTGAACTTTTGTGAACACATTGTCGTAGACATGTGGGGGCGTGTTAGAACGAGGCGTTTTAGGTAGGCGTGGTTGACTCTTAACTTTTATAAAGAATATCTCTTTGGATTTGAGACTTTAGTCTTTGCAACTTTACAGATCTTCTTTATGACACAAGAGCTTGTAACACTCCAAAGAGAAAGGAAAACTTGAAATCGCATAATATGACCTCTGAGTTTGCATTTGACTGTGTTTATTCATTTTGAGGAATACTGAATCTGTTTTTGTGCAGGTGAGATGAGTAAACACATGTTCATATTTAGTCTCGAACTATAGTAAGATCATGTTCACACACAACGCTCTGCACTGACTCCTGATTTCTCTCAACATGGCAACACCAGAGCTGTCAGTCAATACATGGAAACAAAGTAACTGGAGTTACTTATTTGAAAAAGTAACTCAGATATTTCCTTCTAAATGAAAAAGTAATGCGTTACTTTACTAGTTACTTTAAAAAAGTAATCTGATTACGTAACTCGCGTTACTTATAATGCATTACCCCCAACACTGACCTAGGATGACTTGAGGGTGAGTAATTTATGGCCTAATTTTAATTTTGGGTGAACTAACCCTTTAATATTTTTCTCACACAATAAAAATTTATATTTATACATATACAAAATATCTTGCTGTCTTCATATTTTAGGAAGTCGGTCCCTCGTAATCATGATATTTGGGAGTCATTGGTACAAAGGTTGAAAACAATTGCCTTAGATGAGATAAGATAACCAAGCCTAGGCAAAATGTGCAGACTTCTACATTTTCTGTGCTGATTTTACAGTATGGGGAAATCTGTGAAATTCTGACTTTAAATATGTGATTTCTGCCACAGCTTTTGAGAAAAACACCTCTTCTTATACCTACATTAATTGTACAACTTATTTTGAAATATAAAGTTGCATTTAAAATGCATTTGGCTCCTAAACATGTGTTAGTTCTTAATCGTGAGATGTTTGTTGTATAGAGGGATATCAAAGCTCTCCAGTGTGTACAAGGATTTATTGGTCATGCTTGCAGGAAGCATCATTTTGGTACCATAAAATGTCTTCCAGCGCCTTAAGCTCCTACAGATGTAGACCCTGTAATTTAATGTCGTCTGCATGTTAGCATTCTCCTCCACAGGCCACCCCGCTTGACTCGACTTTACACGCCAATCAAATAAAATAAATTTGTGTGTTTATTTACCTTTGCCTGTCTTTTACTTTTTTTAACCTATTTACGATGCATTATATCAGTATTGCACAGGGGGTCCAAGTCTGCGCGGGTCAGCAGAGGTATTCTGTGGTTTCTCCAGCAGTAGTTTACATTCTCAGCAGAGTCAGACAGTTCCCGCTTGAAGAATTCCTCGGGTTCGGCTTGTGCACGGAGCTGTTTGGCCTTTGTGTCGAGGTGGGAGAAGGGATCTTATTTCCTTTCCCGAAATTTTTATGAAAAACAGACGGCCTCAGATATTTCACATCAGCACGGGTGCTGGTTATTTTTCTTGCCATTCCTCAGTCTTTAACGTAGGACGCTCTGTGAAATGTGACTCACTGTGGAGCGCAATAGTGCTTTTTGAATGGGACACAGATTAGTGGCCGTTTCGACGTGTGTTCGCACAGCGCTTTCGTTCTTCCTTGTTTTTTCAGCTGAGCAGCACGTCTGCCTTCTTCCTGTCTGTGAGCAAATTTTGAGAGGTTGAGAAAGAAGCTCATGACAGAAAGAGGGGCTAATGCTCAATGCCCTGCAGATACTTTCGATGTTATCAAGCGTATTGTTCTCTGTGACACATAGACACATGCTTATTTGATTTAGTACAATATCAAAAGATGGATTCTGCGGTGTGCAGCTGTTCATTGTTATGTGCCAGATTAGGACTAATGGTTTCTCAGATATTTATTTTCTGTTAGTCTGTTTGTGTGTGTATTTGTCCATCTGTCAGTCTGTCTGTCTGTCTGTCTGTCTAGAAATGGCATATATAATTTTTATGTATAGACATCCAGTATATTTCTGATAAATGTCTCTGTGATGTCATTCAGGGAGACATCCAGCAGCTTCTTTTGGTGGCAGACGCTCGTGCAGCCTATGACTACTGTGAACACTACAGCCCTGACTGTGAAACACCCCATCAAGAGACACCACAGGCCCAAGAACCTGAGGAAGAGGTCAGTACGTGTCTGGATCTGACCCAGACGAGTGTGTTGTGTGTGTTTGTGTGTGTAGTTGTGTGATGATGTATTAATGGATTATATACGGTCTACACCCACAGCTTCTGTCTGGGGCTTTCTTAGGCCTGGATTCAAAAACATTGCCAAATATCTGAATTATCCATCAGTGTTTAGTAGGGATATATAAGAGTAATCTCCTAGTTGGGTTTTTGTTCTGCAACAACTAGTTTTCTAGTAAAAACACTGTTCAAGCTCTTCAAATTGATTTCCTTTGGTGCTTTTGCCTCGTATCCAGAAAGACCGGAAGTAGATACTTTTCCAATAAATGTCTCATCTAAATATCAGTGTTACAAATAAATGCATTAGGTGGCGCTGTGGATACTTGATGGCAAGGTGAGGGAAGGTCTCCATATATTTACAAATATATTTTATTATATTTGTAAATAATTTTTTTTTTTTACATATATTCACATATGTCATACTAATGTTAGTATTTCTATTTTTTATGAGTTAGAGTAATCAACTAAAAAATATATTTTAAATGTCCACCCCTATTATTCAGTCTATTATTGTGGTACAGAATGTTTTATTAGAGCTGCAGGTCAGAACAAACTGTCCTTACGGAACCTATTGTGAATCACAAGTGTGATCTAGAGGGATTAAACTCTTCAGCTAATCCCAAATTGAAACAGTGCGTTTTGTCTGGTTTTTGATATTAAGCTTTTTCAGTGCTTCAATGTTTTCCAATAATATTTCATAGAATAACCAATGAGCTCACGGTGGAAACTATTTTTCCCCCTGCCACAGAGTCTGAGCCCACTTTTGAGTGGCGTGGAAATATATTTTTCTTTAATGACTCCTGCATGCTTGCTGGGAAAGCCTAGTTTCTCCCTCCACAGCTAACTCTGGAATACCTGGAAAAGTGAAGTTATGTCTCTCAGCTGTTAAAGAACTCCTGATTGTAACATGATGATAAATCACTGTAATGGCTGCTTGGGGTATTGAGAACTACACCACAACAGTGGATGGAAAATGTAGCTTCACGTATCGTGGAAGATGCCAGAGCAAAACCAATGGAGAAATCAGCGAATTAATACAGAGAGGTAAAAACAAATGAAACAACTATATAGTCAGCTTTTTAAAAGCAGATGATATATAGCTTTATAATCCGTGTTCACTTACTAGTGCTGTAACTCAGTCCAGCATCAGCAGCCTAACATCTATATCTTTTAGGAAGAGCAGAGAACTTTGGACGCAGGCCCGTTCTTTTCCCCTGCAAGGAGCTCCCCTGTGCCGTACCAAATGCTTTAAGACACGTGTGGGAAACGGGGACGCGTTTTTAATGGCCCAGGACGATATTTATGCCTTTCATCCAGCTCGCTGGCTACAGCCATGGCAGGCTCCAAGCCTGGCAAGACCCTTTAATGCCGTAAACCGACTCGCAGCTGGATATTTCTTCTTTTTCGCTTCTCTTCTGCAGCCAGTGGAATGCAGCCAGTCCACCAGGCCTCAGTTCTTTATTCTCTGTTATTTTTATTAGCTCAGCTGATGCATAGGGACTTAAATTCATCCTTTTCTGATGGACAAAGGCACATCACAGAATGCCTGATAACTTGCTATACCACTACAATCTACTATACCTCACCTTATGCTCACGCACCTTATTACAATTAGAGAGGAAAACAAGCAGAGAATTGGAAACGTATGTGTATGATTGCTTATTTGTCATAAACAACGTAAGTCATTTATTATTGGGAAGGACTTAACAATAGCTCTTTGTTGAATTGTTAAATTGACTGCTATTTAAGTGCTTAACAACTTTCAAAAACTGTTTGTGTGCAAGTGGCTTAGGAGTGTAACATTTAATTTGCACGCTTTATAAGAAACTGAATTATCCAATAAATTAATTATAAATTGCAAACTGCCATGTGTAACATACACAGTGAATACCATGAGCTCTGTTTAACTTTACACTCAAAAAAAAAAAAAAAAACGGCAC